AAATTATGTGCAAATGCTGTTCCAAGAAAACATCCATTTAACCAATAATTAATTTTTATCACCATCAACATCAACTTTAGCAAATAAATACATTTCCCATGTATTCAATAATACCAATGATCCTAGTTTTCTAAATCCAATTCTTATTGGTTTAGCTTTTCTTACCGAAAAGTACTTTAATTTTCCGACAATTCAATCGATTATTATAAATGTTTTGCCAATTATCGAAGAATATCTATTTAGAACATCTCATAATCTTCATTATATTTCTTGGTTACTAGCTACAATGAATTCTACATTAATCATTGGTCCACAAAATGATTCTTTAGAACTAGAATATTTCGATAAATTACAATCACCTTTATTCGCTGGTGGATCTGAAAAATTATCCATTGAAAATAATTCAAATATATGTCAATCAAACATTATAAATCATATTGAATCTAATTATTCTCTCGAACAAACATCTTCTGATCAAGAATTTCTAATGTTAATCTATAATAACATTGATCAAGATGAAAAATTAATTTCAAAAATGAAATTCTTTCTTAAAAATAAATATATTCCATTACAAAAATCGATTGAAAAACAAGCTCATCATTCATGTGTTATTCTATTTTCTGTTTATTTAAAATTCTACCGTCGAATTAATTTAGCTAGATACGAATTAACACAAAATGATGATAAAAAACCACATCGAAAACTCTTATCTCTATTTGAATATGCAACACATGTTTTTTATTTATTTTCTAAAACTAAAGGACAAGATGGAAATTGTAATGAACTTTATGAACAAATTAAAATCAATTCATTATTTTTGTTAAAATCAATTAAAGAAAGTGATTTAATTCCATTAGTTGAATATCAAACAAAAGTGAAATTAATAAGACAATATTCAAGACGAAAAGTTAAAGAATATAATATTCGTTTAATTGGAAATACATTTTTAGCATGTAAAAAATTTAAAAAATTAATTTTATCCAAAAGAAAATTGAATGAAATTAAACAAAAAAATGAATATATTTTAAGACGTTCTATAGAAGATTTTATTTTCAATGAAAAAAAATTTAATACAGACGAATTTTTACAATGTTTATTCAAACAAAATCAACGTGCTTTAAGTAGATTAATTGCGTATGAATTTAGTTCGAAATCTATAGAGAAAATGTTTAAATTAGAAAATAAAAATCTTTTAAAAATCTATTTATGTTATTTAAGAAAACCAAATATGGACTGGACTTATTTAGAAAATATATCATCAATAAATATTCAATTAAAAGAAAATATTGCAAAAAATTATTATTTTATTATTGAAAAAAGTTTAAAATTATTGAATTATGATGAGACTCGATTGTATTTAAGTAATTTATCTCNGATCCAAACTCATTCAGCCGTTGATGAGTGATGCAAAAGAAGATTTTGCGTTTCCAAATTTCTCGTACTACAACTAAAGTATTATCTAGTCAAAAATACCTAGAAAACTTATTCTAAAACCTAATTGCTCGATCACTCAATCTGATGAAATTCGCTTGAATAAGAGAAAAAAGAACATTTTTGATCGTAATCTCTACAGCAGTGAATATTAGTATACCATAAACTCTTTTCACCGTCATACTACGTATGGCAGGTGTTTAAATCGGAAGAAAAACAATACTAGTGGTAACATATCAAAGAATACACTCTAAGTTAAAATGTGTCACATGTGTCGTGATTTGCGACACAATCCATGACACATTCGAGTAGGACACAACGTGCTTGTTGTGACAGATTTTGACCGGCGACGGCACAGTACATTTTACTAAGACACATCTGACACATTCTAAAAACATGGTTCGAATCTATTACATGGTGCATTCGAATTTGTTTTTTCTCAAAAAGAAAATTATAGGATATTTTTTTAAATTTAATTCCATTTAATTGTTGATATTCTGAAAACTCGAGTAGATCAGATCTTGAGACCTGTCCGGTCTCGAGCTGATCCGATCTCCATCAGACTCCTTCAGGATAGTTCTCTCTTGATCATCGACCAAGAGAGGTATGTTCTCGAATATGATATCGAGAAATATTCTAAAGAAGATAATTTCTATGAAAATATATAGGTTTCATATGTTCGACGCTGTTGTTTATATATACTTATTTTTTTGAAAAGAAAAGAGTGGATGAGTAAACTGCAGAGGGAACGGAAGAAATATATATGCGACGCATTACGAGCACAACACTTTGTTTTTTATTAAAATTGTGATATAGTAATTCACGACATATAAGTTCGACGCATTTTATTTTAGTGTGTACGGATGAATAGTTTCCAAAATTATCCTTCATTTTAAGTATGGAAATAGAGCAAATCAAAAGTGTTCTATGAAATGAAGATCGATTTGTTTGTTAACATCTTGAAACATCTCTGGCTCCATATTTCTATAATTTTATTAATGCGTATATATCATTTCAGAAAAACATAAGACCTATGAATACTGAGGAAAATATACTTTATTCGATAATAATTTTCAATTATTAGTGAATCGATGTTCTTCTATTCGCTGAATCTGATATCAGGATAAGACCTACGTTTTTAACGAGACTACATTTTCGTTGGTTAGAAATCTCTTCTATGGAATATGTTGACTCGTTAATTCTTTCTCTGTCATTAGTTAATTAAATATTCAATATAAAATCATAGAAAAGCAAGTCTATATGCTTTTCTTATTATTAACAAACGATCGATAGCCCTTACCTGCGTCACTGCCTCAATCATGAAAGATAACTAGAAGGAACTGACTGCAATATAGCATGCATCGAATGAATCGTCGATGCTTGGCGCTCAAATATATGATATTAGCATCCCGTATTATTCATATATCTGCGTCATACATGATTATAAAAAGAGTTTGACAACCACTAACAGTGATAGTGTTATTTCAATTTGTTTCAGAAATGTCTAAAACAATACCAAGTCGAATATTTCACAATTTTTTATTCTTGCTTTTTTTTTGGTGCCAAAAGTCTCGGTGGCCACACCAAATTTTCATCTCTATTATACAGATAATATAGATGGCAATGAATTGCATCATGACTGTTTGTTTTATAATGCCAATGCTGTCAATGAAATTAATACGACTTGTGAAAGCAAAACGATTCGATCGAGTCAAATTATGTCTTATTGTATGCGTTCGTTTGATTTGTCATCCAATCGGTCGTTCACTAGCGAAAAATATGTCATTCATGGAACATCAATTACATTCGAAACATTAAAAAGAAAAAACATAACAGGTGAACACTTATATTTATTATCTGCACCTGTCGATGTAGTTGAAAGATATCAAGAATTTCTCGAAAATTCTCAGTCGCCTTTGTCAATTCATACATTTAACAATTGTTCAGAACCATGGTTCGGTGAATATTGTCAATATTCATTCAGTATGTCATGTACATTCAATGAAATTGTATCGACTTATTTTACTCATCTTACTTTCGAAATTAATGATTCAGTTTACAATGGAGCATGTTATATATTCATGAAATGCAANTTAGTATACCATAAACTCTTTTCACCGTCATGCTACGTTTGACAGGTGTTTAAATCGAAAGAAAAACAATACTAGTGGTAAGATATCAAAGAATACACTCTAAGTTAAAATGTGTCGCAGGTGTCGTGATTTGCGACACAATCCATGACACATTCGAGTAGGACACGACGTGCTTGTTGTGACAGATTTTGACCAGCGACGGCACAACACATTTTACTAAGACACATCTGACACATTCTAAAAAACATGGTTCGAATCTATTACATGGCGCATTCGAATTTGTTTTTTCTGAAAAAGAAAATTATAGGATATTTTTTTAAATTTAATTCCATTTAATTGTTGGTACTCTGAAAACTCGAGTAGATCAGATCTTGAGATCTGTCCGGTCTCGAGCTGGTCCGATCTCCATCAGACCCCTGCAGGATAGTTCTCTCTTGATCATCGACCAAGAGAGGCATGTTCTCGAATATGATATCGAGAAATATTCTAAAAAAGATAATTTCTATGAAAATATATAGGTTTCGTATGTTCGACCCTGTTGTCTATATATACTTATTTTTTTGAAAAGAAAAGATTGGATGAGTAGACTGCAGAGAGAACGAAAGAAATATATATACGACGCAATACGAGCACAACACTTTTTTTTTTTTTATTAAAGTTGTGACATAGCAATTCACGACATATAAGTTCGACACATTTTATTTTAGTGTGTACGGATGAATAGTTTCCAAAATTATCCTTCATTTTAAGTATGAAAATAGAGCAAATCAAAAGTGTTCTATGAAATGAAGATCGATTTGTTTGTTAACATCTTGAAACATCTCTGGCTCCATATTTCTATAATTTTATTAATGCGTATATATCATTTGAGAAAAACATAAGACCTATGAATACTGAGAAAAATATACTTTATTCGATAATAATTTTCGATTATTAGTGAATCGATGTTCTTCTATTCGCTGAATCTGATATTAGGATAAGACCTACGTTTTTAACGAGACTACATTTCCGTTGGTTAGAAATATCTTCTATGGAATATGTTGACTCGTTAATTCTTTCTCTGTCATTAGTTAATTAAATTTTCAATATAAAATCATAGAAAAGCAAGTCTATATGCTTTTCTTATTATTAACAAACGATTGATAGCCCTTACCTGCGTCACTGCCTCAATCATGAAAGATAACTAGAAGGAACTGACTGCAATATAAAGGGTGAGCCAAAATTCTTGGTCGCTCTTAGAAAAATTGTTCGTTCTCCCTTATTACAAATCCAAAAACACTCAAAATGGAACATCTTATCCCTTGTAACTAGACGAATATTACACTAAATTTTCAGATCTCTAGTCCTTATTATAGGGAGATATATAGGTTCGTATGATAGAGAAGATTTTTTTCCATGTCCTAAAATCAGAATAGCGAGGATTACATAAACAGAATAAAAGAAAAAGTAACAAGAAAGACATCAGAATAAGGAAATATTAAGAGAATTATAACGAATCGAATTATACCTTAAGATTAATTAGATGTCTATGGTATATTTATTTAAATATCTTTAACTCTGATTGGATATTTATTCACATATGACCAAGTGGGAAAAGGCGATACTCCATCTACTCCAAAAAAATTTTTGGAGTAGAGCGGAGTACGAATGGAGTAGAGTGGAGTATCACTGGAGTAGGGTGGAGTATCACTGGAGTACGACTGGGGTAGAGTGGAGTATCACTGAAGTACAAGTGAAGTATAGGGATGCAACGGTGACGATCATTCACCGCTTAACCGTCACCGTTTCACCAGTCCAAACTGATAACCGTAGGTACGGTTCCCGGTCTAACTATGATAACCGTACGTACGGTTACCGATTCAAACCCGTTGGCAAGAAAACACCATTTCATGAGAAAATAACGATATTTCATAAAGGTTGACAAAAGTAAATCGAGGTCGGAGAATTCGAATCTAAAGTCAGTTTTTGAAAATTTTGAACTAATTTTTTTGGGTGAAAGGAAGGGTTTTTTGAAAAAATAAAGATATTTCATAAAGGTTGATGAAAGTAAATCGAGGCCGGGGAATTTGAATCTGAAGTTAGCTTTTGAAAATTTTGAGTTTTAGTCTTCACATATAAGCTTTTTCAGGAATAAATCTTTGTAGAAA